CCTCCCCTCCTCTCCTCTCTTCTCTTCTCTTCTCTTCTCTTCTCTTCTCTTCTCTTCTCTTCTCTTCTCTTCTCACAGAGTCTTGTTCTGTAGCCCAGCACAGGCTGGCCTGGAGACAATCCTCACGTGTGAACCACCACAACCATTTGAGAGAGAGCCTCAGATACTCGAGGTTGGCTTCAGACTCTCTGTGTAGTGGAGGATGACCTTGAACCTCTGATACTCCTGCCTCCACTTCCCCAAAACTGGGGTTACAGGCATGCGCCACCATGCTCAGTTTAGAAGCCTTGTCTGGGCAGGCAAGATGTCCTATTCTACCAAGCCAGGACACTACTGCAAGTTGTTCTTTGACCTCCACATATGTGCCCTCCACCCCCCCCCCCAAAAAAAAAGTAAACAAACGTAAAAGATGAAACCAGAGAGGAGGAAGAGAGCATGGTGGAGATGGCTCAGCTCTTAAGAAAGAAGATCCTCTGTTCTTGCAGAGGACCTGAATTCAGTTCCCAGCATCCACATGAGACAGCTCATAACTGCTTGTAACTTCGGTTCCAGGGTATTCAATGCCCTTTTCTGGCCTCCATTGGCACTGCACACGTAGTGGGTTCCAGGACATCCAGGACTACATAGGGAGACCTTGTGTCAAAGAGGAAAGAAGGAAAGAAAGGAAGAAAGAAGGAAGGAAGGAAGGAAGGAAGGAAGGAAGGAAGGAAGGAAGGCCTGGGTGAAGCAGCCTTGGCTGCAAGGCAGAGCTGGTACCGGTTTCATCCCCCTGCAGGCGTGGGACAAAGGAAGTCTAGATGGAAGCCCCCCACATCCCAAGAAAAGATGTCAGGCATCCTGGGGACCCAGTTCATTTGCCCCTTTTTGCAACCACAACAAGTCCTGTGATGTGAAAATGGGCCATGCTCGCAACACTAGTCATCTCCTGTGCAGGGTGCCTAGAGGAGTTCCAGACACATAGCCGCCTGTAAGGCGGCCAGTCAGTAGCACTGTCAAGGACCAGCTCCTCTGCAGCCCCCGACCTGGGTACCAATCCAGAGGCTGTCCAGGGTTCCAGGGTATAGGTCCAGGGCTGTGACAGCCCTCAAGCTGTGTGTACAGAGTGGATGTGAATGCGTAGAAATTTGCGTTTGCACATGCATGAATGCGTGCCCACCCGCGGGGCTGCAGATATGCCTGTAGGGGTGGCCCCTGACTGCTTGCAGGTTGGGTGGAGATGAGGCGTTGTTGGGTCTCACTCTGCAGCCCCAGTGTCCCCACAGAACCTCATGGCTCACATGACTCTGAAAGCCTGTCAATAAAACAGCCAGTGTGAGAAAGAAAGAAAGAAAGAAGGAAGGAAGGAAGGAAGGAAGGAAGGAAGGAAGGAAGGAAGGAAGGAAGGGAAGAAAGAAAAGGAAATCTTTACCAAAAGGGGGTCATGGATTTAAACAAGTCCGTGAGAATTCTAGACAGATACTTATTACAAATAAGTGTAGGTTAGTGGCTGATTGAAAGAAATACCGTAAGTTCCAGTGTCATTGCAGTTACTGAATTAAACACTTAACTGAACCAGGTGTTGAGTCCTAAGCCACTCCAAACGAACAAGCTCTCTCAGGACTCTTGGTGGATTCCCCCACCTCTCAGGTCACAAAGAACTTGGAAGACACTTTAATTTCAAAAGGAAAATAAAAGTAGAGGTTGCTTCCTAGACTGTGACTGACGCAGGGGTTTAATTCCGGGCAGCATCATAAACGGATACAATGCACAGATGTTTGCGTTCATTGACACATATGTTCTCTTCTTGGCTGCTGCTGGGGAACGGAATCTAGGGCCTTGTTCATGTGGGGCAAGGGCTCCAGTTCCCAGCTCCGTCCCTAGTCCTTTTTCTTTTCTTTCTTTTGCATCTTCAGTTCTGCGCCGATGATTGGAGATTGAACCCAGGGTCTCCCCTGTGGGAGGCAAGGGCTACCAAAGGGCTGTATTCTTTTCTTTCCTTTCTAACTTTTTTCTTTCTTTCCTTATTATTGTTTGTGTGTGTGAGAGAGAGAGAGAAAGAGAGGAGAGAAAGAGAGAGGGGTGTGTTTGGGAGAGTGTGTGAATGTGCGTGTGTGTGTGTGTGTAAGGTCTTTCCAAGCAGCGAAGATTGGTTGGAACTTGCTATATAGTCTAGCTGCTCTAGAACTCACCACGTAAATCAGGTCAGTCTTGTCAAACAGACCTTCCATTTCTTCTACTTCACGGGTTAATGAGGGAGAAGTGTTGAATGTTTATCCCTGCCCCTAACATGAAGCCACACGTCAGGAGTAGTGGAGTTTCCGGGGGGGCAGCCAAGTCAGACTAATGAGTGCTCAGACCGCAGAGGCATGCCGCCACACCAACTTTGCCTTACTCTCCAGCTACTTCGACCTAAAAAAGAGATTAATTAATGACTATTTAAAGGCCAGGTAAGCCAAGCATGGTGCACGCCAGAGGCAGAGGCAGGTGGATCTTTGTGAATTTGAAGCCAGCCTGGTCTACACAGTGAATTCCAGGCTAGCCAGGGCTCTGTCTCAAAACACACAAAAAGTGCGATGCTCCACAGGCATGGCAGCACATGCCTTTCTGCAGCACTCAGCCAGGAGAGGAAAGTGTTCTCCGAGAGTTTAAGGCCAGCCATGGCCACACAGTGAGACACTGAGAAGAAAACCTTAAAAAGCCAGATGATTTCGTGGTTTTAGACTATGATGTGCCAATTTCTCTAGGAAGAGCGGGCACAACCAGGCTCCCCTGCCTTTAATCTTATATCCAGAGTTAAGCAATGACAACCCCATTTAAGTACCTTGTGTCTTTTAAAAACTGATTCTAACTGGATTCGTCAGAGCACAACTAGCTGTCAGCCTCTGCTTTTGGACACAAGAGCCTCATCTGTTTCTCTCCAGCCTGGTTCCTTGCATGGGTGCCCATTTATGGGTGACTGAGCCAGGAAAAGGAACAAGTGTCAGGGAGGTAGTCGGTAGAGCCGCGCTCAGACTCAGAACCAGGAACTCATGTTTCGACTGGTTTAGAATGATTCTCAGCCCATGATGCTGTGTCCCTGAGCGGGGAAAGTTCCCTTTACGTTTGGCTTGAGGTGAGCAGTGGGTATTCTCAGTAGTGTAAAACTCCCTTTTGGTCTTTGCTCATAAGCAACTGGATGTTAGCGGTGTATATGTGTGTGTGTCTGTGCGTGCGTGGTGTGCGTTTGTGAGAGAGTGCGTGTCTGTGTGGATGGTGCAGGTGTGTGAGTGTGTGGTGTGTGTGAGTGTGTGGTGTGTGTTTTTGTGAGAGTGTGTGTGTCTGCATGTGGGGTGTGTATGTGGCGTGTGTTTGTGAGAACGTGGGTGTGTGTCTGTGTGTGGTGGGTGTTTATGAGAGAGAGAAAGAGAGGTGTAGCATTAAGGATTAAACCCGAGAGCCTCAGGAATGATGCAAAGCTACCTCCCCAGGCCCTGGGAAGGCTGCTTGAGCAGAAATTATTACAAGTGTTACTGTGGACTGAACCTGTTAGTCATTCTGCTTCACCATTAATGAGGAAGGTGTCTGCTGTTTACCTCTGACCCTAACAAGCAATCATATGTTGGGACCAGTGGAGTTCCTGGTGGGCAGCCGAGTCAGATGAATGAGCTCTTACTGCCTAGATTTACTGATGGAGGCAGGCTGCACAGACTAGGCCTTCCCTTTTTCCCTTTCTCACCTAGCTCTTGTGTGTGTGTTGCGTGTGTGTCGGGTGCACATGAACGTGTTTGTGTGCCGTGTGCTGCGGAGGCCACTGATCAATGTTAGGTGTCTTTTTTATGGCTCCCCACCTTTACTTTTTGAGACAGGTTTTCTCGCCAGACCCGGAGCTCACCATTTTGGCTAGTCTGGTTGTCTGTTTTCTACACCGCACCCCAACTGCTGGCATTACAGATGTGAGCTGCTGTTCTCAGCTTTTATGTGGGAACTAGAGATCTGGAACTTGGGGCTTCCCCAGACACATGCTGCTCCCTCCCCACCCCCTGCACCTTTTTTTTGGGGGGGGGGAGACAGGGTGTTGCTATTTATGTAGCCCAGAATATCCTGGAGAGTTCTGGCTTTACAGCTACATGCCCTGCTCACGACTGTCTCTCAGTCATACTGCCTCTCTTGTGTGTGGTCTCTTGCTCAGGATTCCTTCCACACAGGGTAAGTTGGCTGTTTTTGTTTTGTTTTCCTAGAGCATGAGACCCACAATGAGACTCCAAGTGCCTTTTCTCATTCCTAAGGTCTTGATCATTCTTCCCGGGGATGGTGGCCTTAGGCTTCTCTTCCTTGGGGTGGAAGGAGATGATTATATAGTCCCTGAACTATATAATGCCACAAAACTCTTCCTGTGGCTCAGTTATCTCCTGAGGAAGGCATTGTTCCAGACACCTTGCTGGAGGGAAGTCCTGATGAGGAGGTCCCTACACTGATTTTATGGGACTCCTAACTATGGGAGCGGGTGTGTTTCTGACTCTTCTGCCTGCTCTTGGGACTCTTTTTCTCCTCTTGGAGAAGTGAGTCTCGATATGAGGGCCTTTGCCTTATCTTATTGCATTATGTTGTCGTGTTTGGTTGTTGTCTCTCGGAGGCCTGCTCTTTTCAGAAGGAAAATGGAGGGGGAGTAGATCCAGGAGAGAGGGGAGATGTGGCAGGAGCTGGGAGGAGTTGAGGGAGGGGAAACTGTGGTCAGGATGTATTTTGTGAGACAAGGATCTATTTTCAACTTTAGAAAGTGTACCAAACAAGTAAATCTCAAAAAAGAAAAGAAAGAAAAAAAGACTTTAATCTCAGGATTTGGGACGCAGAGGCAGGTGGATTTCTGTTGAGTCTGAGGCCAGCCTGCTTCATATAGTCAATTCCAGGATAGGTCGGGCAACATAGTGAGACCCTGCCTGATAAAAAACACAAACAAAAAACTCACAAGCAAACAACAACTCCCTATATCCAGCGAGATTAGGGGGTATTCAGCTGTGTGCCCCACTAGCATATCCAAAGCCTTTGGTTCCGCCCCCAGAACACCACAAGCCAGGAGGCTGTGGTGGCACACATCTGTAATCCCGGCTCTTGGGAGGTGGAAACAGAAGCATTAGAAGTTCAAGGCTGTCTTTTATTCCTAGCCAGTTCCGGGACAGGACCGCTTCACGAGAGACTCTGTCTCCAAAATTAACTCATTAACAAGCATATCCCAGGAAAGGGAGAGAGCAAGTTGGTGGTAAAATTCTCAACCACAGAAGCAGGTGACGAGGTTAGCAAATTCTAGGCAGTTCACAAGCCTATTCTGCGGCAAGTCTACGCATATCCTTTCTTTATCTGTACCTAGTTTCTGCTTCCTTCAAAGAGCTGAAGGCCACTTAGGGCCGCTGGCAGCCTCTGATCAGATTCTCCCTTCCTGGAGATGATGCTGACTTGACAGTGGTCTGTTGCAGTTGGTCCCATGACTGCTTTAAACGCACCTCAGAAAGGGGGAAGAAGTAGAAGCTAGGGCGAGGAGACGCTTGGGTGGCCAGGGTTTGCTAGAGCTCCACCTACAGGAGTCCACACTCTGGAATAGGCTCGGAAACTCTGGGCTTCCTACTTCACAGTTCCCCAGACTGGACAGAGGAGCGCGACCAGGAGGCAGCTGGCTGCACCCCCTCTCGGCAGCAGCAACCTGCGCCCCACCTCACACCTGTGCCCACTCTCACCTCCACCTGCCCTGCAGTCCCAATGCGCGGGCGACAGACACTTACCTGCTCCAAGTGGCAGCCACAGCGACAACACCAGCAGCAGGACCAGTGGCGGAGGCGGCGGGCTCCGAGAGCGCCCCATGGCGACGTGTGGACGCCGGGTGTCCGCCAGGGCAGGGCGCCGCGCTCCCCTGCCTCGGTGCGCGGGACTCGAAAAGCTGGGCTCCCTCGGCCGGCGCCTCCCACCGCTGCCTCCCGCCCCTCCTCGTGGCGCCGCCACTCTCCCACTAGGGTCGCGGGCACCGCCCTCCAACTCTGAAGCGCCGGGCAGCATCGGAGCCTCGGGCCGCTTACCACCCCCACCCCCCCACCCCCGGACCCAGAATGAGATGAGACCTCAGGGCTGCTTGGGGTCAACAGCCTGAACCACTAGTCTGCCCACCTCCTGTCTCGCTGCTGTTAAGTGTCAGAAACAAAGCACTTCTTTCCGAATCCCTCTGCCCATCCAGGAACAATAACAGCCACAAATGAAATCTTGTAACAACGCTTGAATCAACTAGCGGTGGGTGGTGGCTCACTCCCGAAATCCCAGCAGTTGATGGAAACCTGACCTCGAGGGTGAGTTGGAGACCTGTCCGGGCTACAGAGTGACACCATGTCTCAAAAAACAAACTAAAGCCAAACCAAACCAAGAAACTTTGAACCGTCACGGTTCAAGGGTATCTTGATTTCGTGTGTGTGTGTGTGAATTTGCACATCTATTATCTCATTTGTCCTTAAGTAAGGATTCCCAAGGGTAAGATTTTATGATTACTAAAAACAAGATTTCTGAAAAATGGTCTTCACCCTGGTGAACTGACTAAGGCTAGCCTGAACTTTGCTAAATCACACTGCTCCAGAATTAAGACCCTTTGATTTAAAAGAATATTCCTCAAAAGAATATCCCTCCCACTCTACCGCTAAACAGGGCAAACACTGACCAAAACTACGATGCAGCATAGTTTGTAGAGGGAGACTCTGGATGCAGTGCCCAGCATAGCACTCAGAGAAGGAGGCAGAAGTACCACAAGTTCAAAGCTGAACCAGTCTGGACTAGAGACCTTGTTCTCAATCACGCCCCCTCTCCCCCGGCCCACCAACTGCCAAATCACTGAAGACAGTGACCAGAGACACCACCTAGGAGCCTATTTTCAGATGATGAGAGTTTGTGAGCAGTCTGCTGTACCAGGATTGAACTGGCCTGAAATTGTTGTGTCCAGAACACAGCATGTCGCCTCTGAGGACAAGGAGAATTGTCAGGCCTGATTCCCACCAGTTTCCAGAGTAAAAACCTGACTTGGAAAGATTAGAACTAAGCAGAGTCGAGAAAGAAAAACAAGAGTAAAGGGTGATGTGAGAGATTTCATCTCCTAACCCTCCAACTTGAGCACCCCCACCTTCCCCAGCCAGACTGGCCGTGGGCCAAGAGGGAGTGTATTGTGAAGTAGAGTATAAACCTGAGATTTATTGGCTGCTTCTTCTGAATATGGCCATCCTGCTGTGGCCTCTGGGGGGCATTTGCAGATGTAATCAGCCCAGAAAGAGAGTCATCCCAGCCAGGGGTGTAAATCACCCTTCACAAAGCTGGAAGAGAGACATGTGGCCCTAGATAAGAGGAGGACTGGTTTGGCCTCTGTGCCCTTGCCTCCCTTCTCCTGCCCAGGGGGGAGCTGGCTCCTGATCTGTAATGCACTTTAAATGGAGTTTGTGCTGCGTTTTAATCTATATCTGCCCTGCCAGCTTTACAGGAGAGCTGTGAAAGTGAGCATCCTCGGACTACCCACACAGGGCCTGTTTGCTCCCAGCTCCACCCTCATCTCTAAGCACCCAAGCCTTCTCTCCAGTGACATCAGGAAACCTGCAGCTGGGGAACTGGTGGCCTTAACTTTCGACTTTATTCCTGAAGGAGTTTCAAAAAGAATTTACAAAGAAAAGGGGAACAATTTTCAGGTGTTCGGAGTGCTAGGGATGAACCGAGTTCCAGGAACTCACAAACATGTGGTACAGTCAAGGGGAACCAGCAACCATGCTATGTCCAGTTCATTGCAGAGAAGTACCAAAAGTATCTTTCCAATACTGCTCCCATAGGATGAACCAAGAATTTGGGGACTGTCTGGCATGGTGGCACACACATTTAATCCAAGCACTCGGCAGGCAGACAGGTATTGAATCTCTATGAGCTTAGTGCCAGCCTTGCCTACATCGTGAGAGATCATCTTTTTAAAAACACGTAGGAGCAAGGTCAAGCAGACTGACTAGAGCCGCCAACTTTCCCCTTAAAGAGGTGACAAAGAGGTGCCTGAGGCATTATTTCTTTCTGAGCTTACCATCACTGGGCTTTAATGAGGATTGGTAACCAAGGTTAGGGAGGGCTGAAGAAGCCTCTGTGAATAAATATGACTCCAAGACCAATGACAGCCCTCTGGCATACTTTCTTCTCACCAACTGTCCTCAGACTGCCAACACCTGCTAAGTATGTGGCATAGCCCTTGGGAAACCTGTGATGACAAATGAGCCAGTCATTTCTACAAAGATGGTGTTATTCAGCTATCATCCAATGTCTTTTTAAGATTGGCTATATGCACATATGCGTAGGACATAAGATTGACTATATAACATATGCAAATTTGGCTAGTACAAAGTGATTAAGACACAAATCCAGCCTTGGGAGGCCTTACAATCTACTAATGGTGCCCAAAGGTCCAAAGTCCCTCTATCTTACTGCACTTTCATTTGCAATGTTGATTTTCTCCTCTGATTAGGCTGATGGGTGGTGTTTTCTGCCATCATCCCCCTCTATGGAGCTTTACCTTCTAAATTGGAATGATAGTATAGTAAATAGGTAAGAGCATAGATTACAGTTGCCTAGGTTCAATGCTCTCTTCAGCACTTGCAAGGTGACAATAACAAGTCATTTTTCTGTGCTCGATTTCTATGTGTAAAAAGACAATATATTATATGATGTTTATGAGAGTTAAATACACATTAAACATGGAGTTCAGCAAATGCCCTCAGCAGCACAAGCACTAGACAAATTGTACCATCTCAAGTAGTTTTTTTTTTGTTTTTGTTTTTGTTTTTTGAGACAGAGTTTCTCTGTGGAACTCTGGCTATCCTGGAACCCACTCTGCAGACCAAGCTGGCCTCAAACTCACAAAGATCTGCTGCCTCTGCCTCCCAAGAACTGGGATTAAAGGTGTGTGACACTACACCCGGCTCACTTTTTAAATTTTATTGTTGTGTGAGTATGAGTAAGAGAGCATCCTAGCGCGTGTGTGGAGGTCAAAGGGCGACTGACTGAGTTATCTGTTTATTGCTGTTTATGACCAAGGCAACCTATAGAAGGGTTTGTTGGGGCTCATGTTTTCCGAGGGTTAGAGCCTATGACCGTCATGGTGAGGAGCGTGTTGGCAGCAGGCAAGCGTGGTGCTGGAGCAGTAGCCGAGAGCTCACAAGGTAAGAAACCAACCAGGAGAGAGAGGGAGCTAAATGGGAAGGGGGTGGGCTTTGAAGCCTACCTCCAGTGAGACACTTCCTCCAGCAAGGCCACCCCTCCTCCAACAGAAACATGTCCTAATTCTTCCCAAACAATCCTACCAACTAGGGACCAAATATCCAAACAAATGAGAAATGAGCCTATGGGGATATTCTTTTTTAAATTCCCACAATGACTTTCAGGCATCCATTCTCTCCTCCTCCATGGTCAGGCTTGCATAGCAAGTGCTCTGCCTGCTGAGCCATCCTGTTCAGAACCCTTGTCAGCTGGTTGTTTTTGTGTTTTTGTTTTTGTTTTTTTCTTTTCTGGCAGGGTGTTGGGGGAGTCTAAGACAGGGTTTCTCTGCATAGCCCTGGCTGTCCTGAAACTTACTCTGTAGACCAGGCTGGCCTAGAACAGAGACCCACCTGCTTCTGCCTCCTGCGTCTTGGGATAAAAGGAGTGTACCACTGCCTGGCTTTGTCAGTTTCTTTCTTTCTTTTTTTAAACAGGGGTTCTCTACGTCACCTTGGCTGTCCTGGAACTCACTCTATAAACCAGGCTGTCCTGGAACTCACAGAGATCCTTCTACTTCTGCCTCCCAAGTGAGTGAATGGTGGGATTAAAGGCACTACTGATGAGCCCTTGTCAATTTCTGTCACACTTAATTACAGTGGCACCAAGGAGGAATTGTCCTTTATTTTTTCCTAGACTAGGATTTTCAATGTAGCCCTTGCTGACCTGAAACTGACTATACAGACCAGGCTGAACTCAAATTTTCAGAGATTCTCTTGCCTCTAACTTTCTGAGATTAAAGCCATGTACTACCTTGTAGTACCTTGGGTATATTTGCCTGAACTGAATGAGAAATAGCTTATGCCTCCCAGTTTATGCTCCTAATAAGGTTAGCTAGGTACTGAGCTGACACTGATAACCACTCCATTTTTAGACCAAAATATCTCCACTTTTTACTACCTGACAAATCTCAGGTAGTCAAGGCCACCAGTGAGAGCTGTACCCCCTACACAGTCTTGTACTTTAGTGTCTGTGGTTGGCCTATGTCAGACAGGAGTTCTCAAGTACCTACAAATGTCATACAGATTTAAAGCTGGACAGATCACCCACTCCTAAAATATCCACTGTTGTTGGATGAGGATTTGGAAACAGCAAAATCCATGAAGTAGGGGAGGAATACAAGGGCAGGTAAGGGAAGAGTAATCAGAATGTAAAATATGTGTGCATTAAAAAGTCAAAGAACAAATTTAATTTTTAGGTCCTTATCAATACTGCATAAAAACCTGAAAACAAATGAACAATAACAACAACAACAAAACTAGAAAACTCATAAAGGATAACTACTATCTATTGTGTGGTCTTTTTTGTTTACTGTTTTGCATGCAAGTGTGTGTGTATATGAGAGAGAAAAAGAGAGAGAGAGGAGAGATACTGTCTCAAGTAGCCCAGGCTATCTATGAATTTACAAAGTAGCCAAAGATAATCTTGAGTTTCTCTACCTCCATAATACAGGAATTGTAGCTGTGATCAGACCAGGGCTTTGTGAATGCTAGGCAAGTACTCTATTAGGATACATTTTCAACCCCTTTCTCTTGCGAGACAGTATTTCATGTAGCTCTTAAACTCACTGTGAAACCAAGAGTGTCATTCAATTTCTTACCTCTCTGCCACTACCTTCCAAGTACTGGGATTACAAGTGCTCCACCATACCTGCCTTTTCTGTTTTTGTTTGAGGCATGATCTCACACTAGCTCAGACTAACCTAACCTAGTCAGACTAGCCATTACATAATTCACCCTGGCTTCAAACTCTAGGCAATCCTCCTGCCTCAGCCTTGAGTGCTGGGATTGTAGGTGTGAGCCACCATGTGGGTCAGCTATGTGATTTGTTCCTCAATTTCTCTCAATAGGATTGTTGTGAAATTAGATTGTTTATATGCGATGAGTTTTTAAAGGTTTTTATGCAGCAAGCAGTTGCAAGGTGTACTTTTACATGCATTAAACAACCTGGTTCCAATACAGTGCGAGATAAGAAACCTTGGGTCTAGAGAGCTGGCTCAGAGATTGAGTACTTACTCCTCTTGCAAAGGACTCCGGTTCAGTTCCCAGGACTCAGTGGTTTACAACTGCCTATAACTTGTTTGGGCCTCCAGACAAGCATGTGGTCTACATACTTATATTGGGCACCCACTCACTCATTCACTCTCTCTCTCTCTCTCTCACACACACACACACACACACACACACAAAATAAAGCCTTTGAGAAAGCTGGAGTTCAGTGGTCCAACACCTGCTGAAGTGAGCTGGGAGTGATGGCACACGCCTGTAATCCCAGAACTCAGGGAGGCAGAGGCAGGTGGATCACTGTGAGTTTGAGGCCAGCCTGGTCTATGAAGTGAGTCTAGGACAACCAAGGCTAACCAGAAAAACTGTCTCCAAAAAATAAAAATAAAAATTACTGAAATGTGAAGACACACACACCAGCGTATTATTGGTGCTCGGTTCTACATTTCTGGGGAGACTTATCAGGAAATAACCCACTACCCGGTTATTTCTGCTTGAAATAACCACTGGGAATTTCTGCTTGATCCTGGCACGGGTATGGACAGACTCAGGTGCAACACCTTCCTGTCTGCCCTCACTCTGCTTTCAGAAGGTTAACTTTCGTTCTGACAGACTGCTGGGAGCAAAGGCTGCAGGCTGTCTTTGAGAATACAGCAGTGCCCTCTGCTGTGAAGCATGGACTCAACAAGAAATCAGTCCAACCACAGGCATGGGCTACTCTTCGGCTAAAGCCCTTTTACCCACTTTTTTTTTTTTTTTTTTTAATAGATATTAGCCTATTCCAGAATCCGGGATTTTTTTCTTTGTATCTAAGTCTATGCTTCAGAGTGCTTCTTCCTTTCCTAATCTTGGACTATCAATCACTAGTACCAGAGCTGTGCGCCTCACCGCACAGATGAAAGCCCGACCACCTCAAAGAGCTCTGGGAAAGTTTGGAGCATTGCAGAACAGTCTGAAAGGTTTCTGAATTTTCCTTGTGCTTCTGTTTTATTTCTTCTTTCTTCTTCTTCTTCTTCTTCTTCTTCTTCTTCTTCTTCTTCTTCTT